TTTTGTTGTTTTGCTTTTTGTTTTTTGTTTCCTTAAGCAGGACAGTGCAGCTCTGCTCATGGCATGAACCAGTGATATTCTAGAGAGTATGTGGGTTAGGGGAAGACACCTGTGTAAAAACGGGGCTTTTCCACCAAAACGGAAATTCTAAGATTGGACTGAGTGCCGCAGGCAGAAGCCCTGCCACAACTGCCAGGTGATCAGGAGGGGAGATCCACTCCAGCAAGATCCTGTGCCTTCTTTCATGTGGCCTTGTCTCCTGTATTCTCAAAGCAATCTGGCAGTCACCCTCTGTCCACACAGGAATTAGCAGTTTACATATCTAGTCAGTTGGCACCTGAGATCTAAGAATGAAGGATTCCCTACCTCCACACAAAAAAGCAAACGGTGACAAACCAGAGGGCTTTGCAAAGGCCAGACAATGTCATCAAGAAGGTTAAGATTATGCACTCAAATGAGCGCCACATAAACCATAATAAAATGTAAATCAGGAAGACGATCCAGCTTCAAATTCAGAAATAAAATTCAAAATAAAATAGTAGGGTCACAGATAGATAGATAGATGATACATAGATAGATAGATAGAATCACTTTGATATCATTTATTCAACATTAGTAACACCTTTGTATTTTCCTTAAAAATGTAACATTTTGTGTGTTTTGAGGCAGGGTCTCCCTCCCTTAGAGCTTGCTATACAGACCAGGCTGACCTCCATCTCACAGATATCTGCCTGTCTCTGCCCTGAATGCTGGGATTACAGATGTGCACTACCATGCCCAACAGCTGTAAAATATTTTTAAAGGAACATATACAAGCACAGCTTACCTAAAGCTCTGAAAGAAATTTTAATAAACAAAATTTAGCATTTTAAAATATAATTTACTAATCACAAATGAATACTACTGATGTGAAAGTTTTGGTTGTAAGTTTCGGTAGCTTTTGTTCCCTGCTCTTTGAGGGAACTATATGCATTAATTTGATGTCTTTAAAAAATAATGCAAAACAATGATTTTTTTTATTTCTTTCTTTTTAATTTATGTGTATGAATGATTTGCCTGCATGGATGTAAGTGCACCCATGAATGCAATGTCTGGGGTGGCCAGAAGAAGTTGTTAGATCCCCAGAAACTGGAGTAACAGGTAAGTTATGTTTGCTGTGTAGATGCTAGGAATTAAACTTGGGTCTTTTGCAAGAGCAGCCAGTGTTCTTAACCACTGGGCCATCTCTAGCCCTACTTAATGATTAAAAAATACATATTTATTATTTTTATTTTATGTGTATGAATGTATTGCTTACATGTATGTAAATGCACCCATGTCGTGCAATGCCCAAGGAAGTCAGAAGAGGGCATCGAACTCCCTGGAACTGGAGTTATTGACACTTGTTAACCACCATGTGGATGCTGGGAATCAAATCTGGGTCCTCTGCAAGAGCAGCCAGTGCTCTTAACCGATGAGCCGCTCTCCAGTCCCCTTAATGATTTTTTATAAGGTTAAAAATATCTTTTGTACAGAAAGCATTATATTTTGCTTTATTGTGAGGTTTTTTTTTTTTTTTTTTTTTTTAAATGAAATGACTGGCTATTCACATACAGAATCCCATTACTTCTCTGGCATTTCATATTGCAGCACCTGAGAGTGTTTTACAAGTCATGCACTTAGCTCAAGCAGTCATGAATGCCTACAGGCCATTTAAACTGGGTACACTGAGACCATCTTCCTCAAGGCCACACAAAACCTACAGTTCTGCATTAGGTACAGTGTAACTGACCTCCAATTCTGCAATGAAAAGTCAGCTTTTAATAGAACTTCTAAGCGCATCTGTGAACAGCACAGTCAAGAGTGGCTCTGCAGAGCCTGGGTCATCCTGACCCGAGCCACAAGGCAGCCCAGCGGGTTTCACTACTTTCAGCTATGTAGTCAGAGCAAGGCACTCAGACAACTTGTTGACATTTTAAAGACAGTCTGGCTCTCTTAAATGGACTTTGGCTGACAGTAAATCACAGAGCAAATGGCTTGAGTTTGTGCCTGAAAAAACACAGTGCTATGGAAACATCACTGAACTGGGAACCCGTAGCTCTGCCACTCGCCACTCAGGTGAACAGACCATGTTAATGACAGGGTCAGGGGCTTCTTCCTCCCGATGAAGCCCAGCCAAGTCACTTAAATACTAAAGTAAAAAGTACCAAAAGTCAAAGAAAACTAGCTTTGGTAACACAAGGAAAGGACATCCAAGTAAAATTAAAATGTTGTGCTGGATAGCTTTAGTGCCAACTTGACACACCTTGGTTGAGAGAGCCTCAGTTGGGGAACTGCCTCCATAGGACTGGCCTGTGGCCATGTCTGTGGGGCATTTTCTTGATTAATGGGTGATGTGGGAGAGCTCAGCCCACTGGGAGTAGTACAACCCCTGGGCAGGTGGGCCTGTGTTGCATAAGAAAGCAGGCTAAGCAGGGGCCAGGGGAGCAAGCCAATAAGCAGCATTCCTCCATGGCTTGTGCTCCAGCCTCTGCCTCCAGGTTCCTGCCCTGAGCTCCTACCTTGGACTCCCTGATGAACTGTGACCCAGGAGATGTAAGACAAATAAACCCTTTCCTCCCCAAGTTGACAGTGGTCAGAGTGTTTTGTCACAGCAGTGGAGAAACAAACTAGGACAGAAGTATTCACATTTATTTTGTATGAATATATGTGATCACGGAAGGTCAACAAATGCACTTAAAATGATAAAAACTGAAGGAAAAAATTACCTTCTTTATTCAAATTAAAAATGAGAACTGGGATTGAAGCTCTGTGGTTGAACACTTGTCTAGTTTGAAAGAGGCCTTGGATTTGATTCCCAGTACTATGCAAACACACACACACACACACATACACACACACACACACAGAGTGATGATACATTAAGTATGAAAAAATAATAAAGCACAGCAGTTAATACTTAGAAGACTATCTGAAAGGATAAGAATTATGACTAAAAAATTTGAAGATCAACACTGCCAACAAGAAACTACAACATAAATTCCAAGATATAGCTGAATTAGGCAAAATTTAAGAAGCAATCTCCTAGGTGCAGTGGTGAAGACCTACCTGTAAACACTCAGGAGGCTAGGGAGTGTGAAGTTAGTCTGAGCTCATAGTGAGGCCCTGCCTCAAAACAAAGTGAAAAAAAAAAATCCCTCAAAGAGCAAAGGTATGTACACATTCAATGTAAGATTAGCATAAGGTCCTGAGAAAGACCAAGACTAATGAAACCAAATCTAAAGTGATGACTGAGGTGGGGAGCACAGAGAAGGCAGTCTGGGACCACAACCCAAACAGTAAATGAGGCTACACTGTGAACTACATTCAGGTTAAGTCTCAGAACTCAGCTGGGGGTGGTGGTAGTATATACCTGTGATCTCAGCACTTGTGATGCAGTGGTAGGAAGATTAGAGTTCAAGATCATCCTCTACTACATAGTGAGCTCAAGGCCAGCCTGGGCTATATGAAACCCTGTCTCAAAAAACCAAGACAGTAAGAAAAAACAAGGGGGCTGGAAAGATGTCTCAGTGATTAAGAGCACTGGCTGCTCTTGCAGAGGACCTAGGTGTGATTCCCAACACCCACATGGTGGCTAACAACTGTCCATAACTCCAGTTCCAAAGGATGTGACACCTTCTTCTGCATGACATGGGTGCACCTACCTACATGCAGGCAATACACTCATGCACGTAAAATAAAAATAGTAAATAAAGAACAAGAACTTGAATATAGAATATAAAAGCAAAGCTCTGTTATGACAAATAGCAAAATCTGGTGTCAGCTCTCAGAAGAGAAAAATGCTTAAGAAGAATCATAGGATATGGTACCAATAGGCTAGTACCAGCATGATTCAGCAAAGGTGAATGTCTCTTGCAAGAGAGAAAACTAAAATTGACAGGAAGATGCAGGAGAATGTGTCAATGGAAGCTTTCCCTTAAATAGATCATTCTAAAGGCTAACATGGTGGCTCAGGCCAGTAAACCTGCTATTTGGGAAGACTGTGGCAGGAGGACTGTTGTGTTCAAGGTCATTACGGGAGACAGAGTGAAAGTCTGACTCAGCATCCCCTGAAAGATAATTAAATTTTTTTCCCCTGACATTTATTTATTTTGTGTGTATGTTTGTCTGTGCACATAGGTCAAAGGAACAGCTTGCAGGAGTCAGATCTCTCCTTCCACCATGTGGGATCCAGGGACTCAATTTATGTCATGAGGCTTAGTGGCAAGTGCCTTTACAATTCACAACCTATCTCACTAGCCCCCAAAGGTAATTACATATCCAAAAATATATCTAGACAAGCAATAAAATGGTCTAAATTAGTGGATTTAATACTTAGCTATTTTCTTTTACTGTCCATAGGGTATGTGTGTGTGTATGTGTGTGTGTGTATGTGTTGTTGTGCTTTCCATAAAAGGGCTTCTGGAAACCTATTTCAACAAAAGTTATAAAAATGCTTACCTTTTGCCGGGCATGGTGGCACATGCCTTTAATACCAGCACTTGGGAGGCAGAGGCAGGAGGATCTCTGTGAGTTTGAGGCCAGCCTGGTCTACATAGCGAGTTCCAGGTCAGCTGGGGTTACAGGGAGACCCTGTCTCAAAAAGGCCAAAAATGCTTGCCTTTCAGCCCTACTCTCGTGATACTCATCAAACAACCCTCTAAATACGTCTAGAATATGAAGTGGGCTCAGACTTCACAGTCTTTAATGTAATTCCTCATTTCCTGTTACTGTCAATGCAATGTTTTTAGCTTTACATCTTGGCCTTGAAGAAGTAGATATGAGAGCTTCTTACATTATTACATATTACCATGTATACCTATGGCTTTATTTTATTAGAAGAAACAACAGACCTTCTCAAAGTGCTCCTGTTTTAGGGCAGGATGAGTTTCTTTATAAATCACGTATAATTTTAAGCACCTGGTTCACTAACACCCCTGCAGTAACATAAAATGTAGGACAAATATGCACAAAGCACTCACTTCAACAGTCTCATTTTTCCCCTCGTGGGTATGTGGTGATCTTGGGTAGATGTCAAGAAGGTGTGGTGATGATTCAAAATGTAATCTTTTGAGATTTTTTTTATTAGGATCTTTACAAAGCATTTCACCAAAGTTGCTCTTCCACAACAAGATCTGTAAAGTCAGTGATGTCAGCAGTTATTGACTAGCAATGATTGTCTATATAAACAATAGAACTGATTAAAAAACCCAATATTCATAACTGTCTTTCAAAATGGGAAATCTGTATGTGCAGAAACACATTTGTATTTTAAACATGTCACTGTTTCTCAGTGCTTTTGGGCATAGCAGTGAGGAACAAATTTAGCATTTTGAATAGCCTTCCTGACTGGCATAAAATTCCTAGTAAGGTAATAGTTGATAACCTTAAAAACTTCCCTTTGCTCTTCACCAAAGTCCCCATACCATGCATTTGACTTCACCATCCATTTTCCTTAATAACTCTGGCTATAAATGATTTTGATTATTTCATATAAATGCAGATTTGTCACATAAATGATTCAAACTTACAGTCCTTAGGAGGCTTAATATTTGAAGAAACAGGATGTATGAACGAAAGATTAGGCAGTAATTCAGGTAAAAGGGCTTCTCCTTGAAACTTGGCATTCAGTAAGTGTCCACTATATGTATAATTAAGTACAGAATTGAGCAGAAGGAAATTGGTATTGAATTTTAAAAACTATTCAACTGGAACTATGATCCAGCAGACTTCCTGCCACTAAGTTACCATAAAAACCCACTGATAATCATCTTAACCCACACACTAGCTAGTTGTAAAAGTCTCAGTGAGGTCAAAGATTTATTTAAATCAAATCCCTCTATCCAAATCAAAGAGGGAAATGAAAGATGTACAAACCTGTGCATCTGCACCTCCTGATGTAAACAGTTCTCCTCCCTTTGAAAATGAAACAGTAAAGACAGGTCCCTAAGAAATAAAGGAAAAAAAGAGGAAGGTACTTAGTGTTGTTTTCTCATGCCTAATAGGGCTGTGAGCACCACCTTTGTGTCCTCACTTACACAGACTAGTTATGCAGTAACTCCACTGAACACATCACCTGCTAACAAGGACTCCTGGCAGACAAGAGTACAGATAAAGAAACAAAACTCAGTTACATTAAAACACAAGTAAATGATAATAAGCAAAAAAGAAATAGCAAAATTTAGTTAAGAAAATAACTTTTTTCCTTAAAAGAAAAGTTTATAAATGTTTAAGCTGATAAGAATTGCTGTTAAACTTTTTCTGGCTTTTTAGTCTGTATTTAACCAATTACTAACAAAAACTGAACAATAAATGCATAGCGATGGAACTGAGGCTATACAAAGTCGGGCCATTTCCTGACAGAGGGTTCACTGCATTCTCTTTTCTGAAGTAGGCTACAAGGAGCCATTAAAGGGTTAAGAGCAAGACACGGGGAGAACTGTGACTGATAAAATCAATACAACTATTATGAGATGATCAACTGCCATAAACTGGAGGCCATTGGGGAAGTATCCTGCAAGTATCTTTTGAGAGAGAATGAGCACTTGAAACTGAAGAATTTCTGAGGAGTCAGACAAGTCTAGACTTGACATGACACTAAGATGTATAACCTTTGGGTCTGTCTTTTGGTCAAGATTTGAGAAATTATTTCTCATCTCAAAATGTTAATATATTTATGTATTCTCTTTATTCTCTTTATTTTTAAATATATCCTTAAACTATATGAGCAAAGTTTTGGAGAAAAACATTTTGCATTTTTCAAGTACACCCTGGGCTATGAATGTGAAATGTCCTACATAGGCTCCTGTGTCTGAATACTTAATCCTCAGCTGGGTACTATTTGGGAACGTTATGGACCCTTCAAGAGGTGAGCCTTGCTGGAGGAGGTATGGCACTGGGAGTGGGGGTGTGGCTTTGAGGTTTCATAGCCTGGTCCCATTTCCCATTCTCTCTCTCTGTTTCTGACTACCAGTGCAATATGACAAGCTGGCCTCATGCTCCTGCCTGGACAAACTGTATCCCTTCCAGAACTGTGAGCAAAAGAAGCCCTTTTTCCTGTAAGCTGCTTTTGTCAGGGTATTTTAACACAGCAACAGAAAAGAAACTAGGACACCCTGCTACAGACTTAGCTTATTATAGTTTCATAAACACCTTCACCTCTAGATGATGAAAAGTTTCATCTTTATGGAAAGTGTTTTCCTCCAAAATATTGTTTTATCTTTTCCTTATTATTTTGTACTTACTTTATTGGCTATTTCAATTCTTGGCACTTTCAGTATTGTTTAAAAATATTTTATTTATTATTTTAATTTTTATGTGTATGAGTATATTGCCTGCATGTATGTAAATGTACCCATGTTGTACAAAGCCCGTGGAGGTCAGAAGACGGCATTGGATCTCTTGGAACTGGAGTTACATTACAGATGGTTGTTAGCCTCCATGTAGGTTCTGGGAACTGAACCTGAATCTTTTGCAAGAACAGCCAGTGCTCTTAACTGCTGAGCCACCTCTCCAGCCCCAATCCTTGACACTTTTAATAGATTGTACAATTTGCTCTAAACTTGTGTCTGTACATATTTGGGCTGGCTAGCCTAGTTCTCCTTTAACCTAACTCTGCTATGGAACAAACCTCAAGCCAAGCAGGCAGGAAAGATGAAGGCAGAAAGAACTCCTTCTCTCCTGGACCACAAAGCCCATTCTGCTCTCACATACAAAGAACTTAGGCTTGCGTAAAAGTATCTAGTACATAAGTAGAGAAACAAGGGATCTGATCTAAAAAATACACAAATTTGAATATTATCTCTGAAAGGAACCAATAAAAGTTCTTTGAAAGAAAATATGGCTTATCTGTAAGACAAACAGGCTTTCTAGAGCCAATACCCAGAACGAACCAGGTTATAAGGACAAATCTCTCTACAAAAACTATTAAAGGAAAAGCAAGAGCAGGCTCAATGCCAAGAGTCGGAGAGCAGAGGGTGCTGGGCTCTGATTGCTGATTTTTTTCTAAACTCATCAATCAGATTAGTGAAAGAGGGATGGGGAGAAGGGTGAGAGACTCTCAAGTATGGGAGCTCGTGAGACAGCAGGGGTCTGAGGGGAAAGAGCTGATGAAAGCAGGAAGTCTGTTCACCTCCACACCAGTCAGCCTGGGCTGTGCTAACCAAGGTGGTAGCATTTACTTAATGAATGGGTCTTGAAAGATGTTGGTTTTAACACAAATTACAGTAAGTAACGTTTCTAAGAGTTGCCTCTAGAGTATAAAATCAGTCTTAAAAAAAATTTTAGGAATAGCAGCAAATGCACATCATTCCTAAAAAAATAAAAGTATATAATAAAATGAGTCAAACTTTAAAATGTATCTTACTTAGGAAACAGAAATCTTAGTGCTAATACCATATGTCCTTGGAGCGTATATAAGGGTCTTCCCTCCAGGAGATCCAGAATCTTAAGTGTACCATCAGAAGATGCAGTGATGAGGTAGTTCCCCGAAGGATGGAATGACAGACAGTTCACACCACGGCTGTGAACTAATTTATAGAAAATAAAAGCCAAAATTAAGAAAACAATGGTTTCTTTATGATATCATGGGCTCTTTACCATCATAGTTATCTTTTGATATATTTAGCTTTCTTTATAATCCTGTTATTTTTCTTCTTTCAGAGAACAATTCTTAAGTTCTAAGCATGTCCTTGCATTATTAGCAATATCCTGGGAAAACAACCAATCAGAGGCAACATCTCCATAACAATGAAATTATTATAACTCACCAAAGCAAGTAAATATTTTGGTACCACACAGCATTAATCTTTCAATTGATGAGACAGAGTAACTTTAGAAATGAAACTGTCATGTGAAGATAATCTTATTGGGCACAGAGCTATAAAGTCTTTGACTATATTACCAATATAATTAAGAGTTGATTCTTAATAGCTCATGCAAGGTATATAACCTAGTCTCAAATTAAATTTAAAAAGCAACCAGGGGCTTGGGATTAAGGTGTGAAGAGTCCAAGAAGCATGGATGAAGGGCTGCTATGTGTGCACATTCATTTCTGGACACCATACTTCCAACAGAAGCAGAAAAATGCGATGATCAAACATATGGTTTTTTTCACACAAGTCACTTCCATCAGTTTCCTTATCTTTAAAATGAAATAATGAATGCACCTATTAAGAATATTGTAAGGATTTAGCACAGTATCTTCCACATGGAAAGCATGGTATATAACAACAATGCGGACTTAACAAATCTAACAAAAACCAAGACGATCGTTCCCTTTTCTCAGTTTTAGCACAGCTAAACAGAAAGAAGCTGTGTTCTGCCAGTGAGTTATTACCATTCGTTTGGGCTTACAGTCAGTTTCTATTCCTGAATTCTCACATGATGCAGGTAAGCACTTTGAAAACTTGACAGTACCTTTTCTTTTTCTAACAGCTCCCAAGTCAGTTTTAAAGTTTCTTTACAAAAATGGACTTGGAGGACACTGGACCCTTTATCTGTTCCTCTTCCCAAGGTGGACACATTGAATACATCTCCTCTTTCTTCTTTTCACCATTTCTCATCTCTCATTGGTGTACTGTGAATGTATGGCCATACCTAGCTTTTGGGTCCATCAGAGCCAAGATTTTTGTCTTAAAAACACTGATTTAGACTGAGTGGTCCCACGCAGCTGCTGGAATCACGTTAATCCCAGGGACTTTTTCTATCTTTCCACTTGGGCTGCTTTCTACTTCTATTTGGTGAAGTAAAGAAGTGAGTGTTTGGACTCTCCAGGCCCTGAAGTCTGACCCTTGGTAAGTTCTCCCAGATCAGCGTATCTTAGGCCCCATCCTTCCTTTTTCTTGTCAGTTTGGAGGCTCTTTTTAACTGTCTAGGTTCTTTCTGAACTAGTCTGAATTTCTGTCTTAAGTCTGACAGAATCTGATTCCTTGTCTTTGGGGGGTTCTTTTGAGCAAAACTAGAGGTCTTGCCACCCCCCCGTCATTGGAACAGTGAACTCATTTATTCAATTTGCCTGTGTTCCTTCCACACAATTTCACTGTTTTGGAAGCCTCAATGCTTCCAATGATTTTCTTCAATACTCAGAAAAGTAAACTAGTGTAAACCAAGAAATATTAAGGCTAGATACTGTTTTAATTATGACATGAAATTAGAGGCCTCTTTTTAAAAAAAAACTATTTGGCTATTTGCCAGTGTGACAGGGAAGTTTGGGTTCTGTAATTTTGTGTTGGTAACTATCGGGGAATGGATATAAGGTGCATAGAGAAACAGGGTGTTTGGGAAATCTTTACTGTAATTTGTATAACCACGGAATATGAAGCTTATGTTATCTTGGTTCCTCTAGGGAGAATTCTCATTTGTATTTTGTAACTTGTTGATTTATCTAAGATTGCCCTGTGAATCATGTAACTGTTTTGTATGTATTAGTATTACTGTGTATTGGTTTATTAGTGTTTATGATGATTAGTTTAATGGAGACTGAAAAGTCAGATGACTGTAGCAACAGTCCTGTTAGAAATTTATCTACATTGAAGGGTCAGTGGATTTGGAAGAGGAAAGACAAATGCTTCCTCTGGCCCACTCTGGGCCATGACTAGAGGTTTTTGTTTTGGTTTTGTTTTTTGAGACAGGGTATCCCTGTAGCCCCAGCTGGCTTGGAAATCAATATGTAGACCAGGCTAGCCTTGATCTCACATAAATTCACTGCCTGTGCCTTTGAAGTGCAGAGATCCAAGGCATGTACTACCATGCTTAGCGTGACTAGAGAGGCGTCAGGAGTGTATGGCCACATGATGTGCTGTGGTCACAAGGAACTCCATAAACAGAACATATTCCATGCTTTGGTTGGAAGGAATACCAATAAACTACTGGGTATCCTACTGCCCCTCTCCTCTGAAACATGTAAGCAGGGACACTGGCCCCTTGGTGGTACTCTGCCAAGGAATTGCTATTAAACAGTTCATCTCATTGACCCAAACATTCACATAGTATCTGCTCTTCCTTCAACCACTAAGGTGAGACTCTAATCAAATGAGTTCAACATAACAGGGCAAAACTTAATCTGTCCCTAAAATTCCTGAAAACAAGTAGCAAGCCAGTGGTCACTTCATTCCTGCATTAAAAAGCAGACAAACAAAAATTGCAATACTTGGCATGCCTAATTTGAAATGTGTGTAGTGCGTATGAAAGTGTTTTATGATGATTTTTTGGCTACACAAACATATAGGAACTATATGTTCTCTCCCCTCCTCTCTTTTTTTCCCTCTTCTGCTACTACCTTTTTTGAAAAAAAAAAATGCTTTTCAAGGTTCTTATCTTAGCAAGGCCTAGAGAGCTAGACATTTAAGAGTTACCTGTAGAAGCTAGAACTGAAGGAATTTTTTAAAAGTGTGTGTGTCGGGGGAGGGGGGCAGCTCAGCAGTTTAGAGCAGTGGCTGAGCAAGGGCTGGTCCTTGCAGAGGACCTGGGTTCAATTCCCAGCTCCCACATGGCAGCTAACAACCATCTGTAACTCCAGTTCCAGGGGAATCCAATGCCTTCTTCTGACCTCCATGGGCATTGCATGACTTGGGTGTACTTATTTACATGTAGGCAATATACTCATACACATAAAATAAAAATATTAAATTTTTTTTTAAAAAGGTCATTTTAAAGCCAAGCTGCTGTTACCTGGTTAGAAAAGGCATTTTAAAGGTTAGTTACATAGGCATGTTTTCTCCCATCATCAATGCAATTTGGATTCAACTCTCATTTGCAGTGCAGCATATTTGGAAATATTAATAAATGTGTTTTCATAAATTGCCAATGTAAAATAGATTACTTTATTCTTGAGTCTTGGTTAAGAGCATGATTATTTAGAGTTAAAGTTTCAATATACGGAATTATATATGCAAAAAACAGAAAAGAGTTTAAGCCATATTGGTGAAAAAAAGTATTAAAAAGGCATAAAATATTTTATTTTACTAAGAAATAAATCTGGACTTGGGAGTTGGATGGTAGAGTGCTGAAAGGCCCAGGCTTCAACTGCTAGTGCTACAACAAAATAATGATGCTTTCTAACTTTGAAAAATATTGACAGATGTTTCAAAATGGATATTCTCTAAGGTCAAAATTTAATGCACTGTTGTAAAATAACACCTACTTGTCTGTGTCTAAAGCAATAAGACTTAAAAACTATTGTTCTGCTTTTAGTAACATGTGCAGAAAAGAATTGGCCCAGAGGACAAAGATTGGTGCTTTACTAAGGTAACTGCTCTTTGCTGACTTGTCAGGACTTTAGGACTCAAAAAACCAAGTCTCAACAAAGTCAAGATTCACTCATGTATCTGTCTATGTTAAACCCTTCCAAGTGGCCACTCTAGAAACAATTTTTAATAGTGATTCAATTACATTTAATACCTTATATATCTGTTACTGGAAACATGCGAATTTAATACATGCAAAGTGACCAATAAGTGCACTTTTATTTAATGTGTTATATCTGAACTGTCGACAATTAAAATAAAATTGCTAACATTTCTTCTAATCAGTACTGTTCAGATGAAAAACCCTGTCACTTGTGCAATATTGCCTTCTAAAACGTGGTCTAGACCTATTTCCCTAAGTAAGCATTTTGTTATTGTATATATGAGACACACATCAAAAAGTAGTCACTAGCGCTATTTCCAAAATTTGAAAGAGGTCTAAAGTTTTAATTTTTGTCAGTGCTGTAGATCTATTATCTCACTAAGCCAAGGATTCTAAAATTTTGTTTCAAAAGTAGAGGCTAAATGTGTATTTATGACTTAGGTGTCATTTCAATGTTGTGGGCTCCTCTGTATGCTAAATGTATTTATGCTTCTCAATATATAAGCTTTCTCTAAACTTCCAAACTAGAAGTGTAGTGTGTGTGTGTGTGTGTGTGTGTGTGGTGTACACATGTGTATGCTCTCCCATTCATGAGACTGTGGGGACCAGAGGATGAGGTCAGGTGTCTTCCTATCACTCTCCATTGTTTTCTGAGGCAGAGTCTTTCTCTGAACCTGTAGCTCATCATCTCAGCTAGACTGGCTGACAGCAAGCCCTTGGGATTCCCCCATCTCTGCCCACCTATTGTTGGGACTGCAGATGTGCACTGTTGCAGCTGGCTTTTATATGAGTGCTAGAGGTCTGAAGTCAGGTTCCCATGCTTGCATAGCAAGCACTTTACCACTGAGCTATCCCTCTGGCCCCAAACTACAACTGTTAGTGGTGATGACCTTTCCAGGCTCCTGCTCATGAGTTCCCAATTATATCATGACTATCATCTTTAAGTAGAAGTAACTGGATATGCCCTAATGCTGTGTACTCCAAGCAGTGCCTGTCTAATAAGTAAATGCAGTGGACATTGGTCACCTAATGAGGACAAATCCATAAACAATTACATTCTACTTTATTTAGAAAACTTTTAAAAATTTTATTCTTAAAAGACAAAATTAAATGGTTATTTGCATATAAAAGTAGCCCATTTTTGATAAGCTATACCATTCTTTCAACTGAAACAAATTCAAATGTATTTCTGAGAGGAAAATCAGGATAGCTTGATGGTCATAATGCTGTCAATCATAATTATCCTGAAATATTATATGCAATGAAAGTACAGAGGTTGTTTTATCATTGTTCAACTTTCTGGAAAATTCTAAACATGAGTGGTCTAAGACTTTTGCCGCCCACAGTTCTGATCCTTGTCTAAAGCATCTACAGTCAACTCAGGGAAAATGATTTTAATAAGTACTGACTTTTGAAACTAGCATCTCTTTATATATTTTCTCTTGTTGGTTGTATTTTGTATTTTCCTTTTTAAAACTTTGTAATTGCTGTCTGCTAACAATCTCTATAAACACAACTTCTAACAAAATGATCTAAGCAATATTAAGATGTTAGGAGTTTACCAACAGGACAGACAGAATTGAACTTAAAAAATGGACTCCAGGTAAGCACAACCTAAGGGCCAGTTTTCTATGCCTCTTATTTGTTTAAATTTGACCAAAAGAAAAGTTTTCCTGGTATTGGCTCATCTCCCTTCCCCTGCCTGGCATGGGATCAGATCAGATGAGATCAGCTGGGGCAGATCTCATCCCAGTGACAAAGGACAGTTGAGATCAAATCATAAGACGATTACTCAGTGCTATCTTCAGAGACAATTGTTCAGATAACGAGGGAAGTATACATAATCAAACAAAGCCATGCTGGTCATGGAGGTACATATCTGTAGTCCCAGTGCTTGGGAGACTATAGCATGAGGATCCTGAGTTAGGGGCCAGCCTAGACTATGTAACAAAATACTCAAAGAGAATAACAAAAAGTAAGTCACTTGTGCTAGCCCTTTCAAAAGTAAAGCAGAGGTTATGGAGAAATGCTTGGTTGCCTGACACTATACCCCTTCCACTAGAATCCACTCAGTCCACAGTCTGAGCTATTTAACCGGCAAGGCAAGATGATACCCTATACCACTTACATAACTGGATGTCTTCTGGCTTTGGATTCTTGCATTCTGCTTTACAGTGGCACTTCCACTTTCAGGCTCAACCATCTGGCTTTTTTCATGTAGATATTCCAGTCATTACAGCCTGCTCTCTTGTCATGTACTGTTTGTCACTGGACCAAAAGCACCTACAAAGCCAGATTGGCCAGATACACTAATTCCCTCAAGATTGAGCAATGTCCAAACACAAGGAAGAACTAAAGCAGGCACTTAGAAGCTGCTTTTGCTAAAAAGTACTGACTCCTCACTTGGGCCTACAGGGCAACCGAAAGCAGGATAAAGTCCAGGATCCCTGCCTTCATACGGTGTCTTTCTGACTCCTTGACTATGGCTAAAAGCACTAAACCTGTAGTCACCTTGGATCCCTGGAAGGATAAAACCTCACAGGGCAGACTGCCCCCTCAGGTGAGGACAATTACCCTTGAAGGCGAGGCTTCACACTGGGACAGAAGCAATCAGCTTGTCCTCAACAATGACAGTGAAGAGGCCTACCTCAGAGCACTTTACAGAATCAGAACTGACTTGAGGTCCATTGCCCTTTATCTGTTTCTCTTCCCAATGTGGCCACATTGAAAAAATCTTTCTGACTTTTCATCAAAAAGTAAAATAAAATAAAAATCTCTTTGGCTCTCTTTCTCCTCTTGCCTCTTCTGTTGATGGAAGTCAACTGCTCTGTTCTCTAGTCAGTTCAAGCGCAGCCCATGATTCCCTTGTAGGGTGCCAAACCACACTAAGAAGGAAACTTGGTCTTTCCCACAATAGCCGTTTGATAATGGAAGTTCTTTTTGGTTAGGGGAACTGTTACCTTGATAGTGCTGGAGTAACTTGTTCACTCTTATATCCCAGATTTTCACAGTGTGATCAGAACCTGCTGAAGCTATGCATGTACCGTTAGGGTTAAAGTCCACAAAATTTGCAAATCTAGGAAGAAAGCATACGATGGCTTCACATTTCAATTCCTTTACTTTCATTTTTTACTGAAATTGTTTACCATGAAACATCTCCTTAGCAAACAGATCCATATAAATATAAAAAGAGAATGGACTTACCCTACAGAATCTGAGAAGTTATTAACACACTGCTTACTTGTGGTGTCCCAGATTTTAATAGTTTTATCTTCACTACATGACACAATTATTCTTGCATCAGGTGAAAATCTAGAAAGCAGAAGAAAGAGGATTCTGTTTGTGCATGGTTTTGGACAATCATCACCCCATACCTCCATACCAAACTGAACTATCAAATACCAAAGGCCACTGTCTCCACACTATACAGCAAAGTTACATTTTATAAACATTATCTTTGCAACCGAATATCACCATAACAAACAACACTGGAGGCCCTTGAAAGATCAAAACATGCTTTGTAGACTAACCATACTTCCTTTATCCGTTTGTTTATATAAAAGTAGTTAGTTTTACAGCTTGCTGCAGGTTGACTCAACGCTGCACTTCTTGTAAGCCAAAGACCTTGTTTTGGGTTTTGTTGTTTTTGTTTTTTTCCCTAGTTTTTTGAAAATGGGTCTCCCTATTTGGGTGGCCTGGAACTAGCTATGTAGACCAGGTTGGCCTCAATATCACAGAAATCTGTGTGTTTCTGCCACCCTAGTGCTGGGATTAAAGGCTAACTTAGTTTTTTTTTAAAAAATAACCTAATTTTTTTAATTTTAATTTTCTGTTATCTCTATGACTCAAAAAGGGACTTTTCCATTCACTACTGCCTAGCCAGTAGTGAAGCTTTTGTTAAAAAATAAATACAAAGCACATCGGTAGGCTGAGAATTAAAGTCTAAAGGATGTCAACAAAAGAACCTAATTTCCAAAGCTGGGGGCTTTCTGGACTTGTCCTGTTTTCAGCCCAAGTCACTCAGAAGAGAAGCTCTTCCCTGCTCCAGTCCCTCACCTAAGCTTCACTAAGAACAAACAAGAGAAATCCCAGAGACCTAGTCTACTGCCTGTACACTGTCTGCTCCTTTAAGATTCTGTTTCTCTCTCTCTCTCTCTCTCTCTCTCTCTCTCTCTCTCTCTCTAATAATAAGAGCCTTTTAAAATTAGAAAAGAGAACCAAATTATTAGGACATTATAAATAGTAATTTTATACTATGAATATTTTAGCAACAACAAAATCCCCCAAAGATTCTTATGTCACAGATTGGTAATTGTGTGTCCATTTTATGTGTAGTTTCCTTCTGGCCCACAGTCCAGATTACTGTGAGTCTTCAGTTAGGGTGAGGAATATGATTAAAGGTTTTCATTTTGTTTTCTCTGCACTCCTACCTCATTCTCAAGGAAGACCTAAAAATAATTCTTCCTGACAGAAATTTTGGATTCTGCACTTATGAGTTCATCATGTGAAAAAGAAAAACATAAAAGACATACGGAAGCATTTGAAAGTTCTCCATGAAGTAACCTTTTAAAATTTTTGAAAGTAATCCTGTAAGGAAAAAATCCTTCCATTCTTGGTAGTTTTCTCTGATTTTAAAATGGCAAGTAATATTTCACTAACATTTTCCTCTAGAAAATACATGAGAAGTATCCAAATATGGGCAACAGTATTACAAAAATGTTCCCAATACAGAAACTTCTTTTACATGGACTTGTGAAAGAAAAATCTACTCAATATCTTTATGGAAATAACTTTGTACAATAAATATAAACTAATGCAAGAAATCAAATTGTATTTCATAACAACTTTATCTTTGAAACACTACTTAATGTGAACATTTTAAGTGAGAAAAATATTTCTGAGATGGTGTGATTCTTAACATTTTAAGACACCACTGATAAAAGATTTAGTCAACTGGAATGATCCAACTACAAAATACCCTATCAGCACCATCAGCACCATCACCACCATCACCATCAGCACTACTGTGGTCCTAGGGATCAAACCCAGGGCCTTGTACATGCTGGGCAAGCACTCTCTACTGAGCTATATCCCAAGCCTTCCCTATCATATTATCACCCAAACCTACCACCACCATCACAACATTATCCTACCCACATTTACTGAGCACATATATGACAGAATGGTTTTTAACACTTCAAAACAACCCTATGAAGCAGGTACTATTGCTTGCCTCCACTTGCAGAGGAGCAAACTGTGGCACAGAAACGAGTAAGGACAGGGGTCCAGATCTGAACCAGGCTGTTGCTTTCCACATACATCTGAATACTCTGTTTAAGTCTTTGACAAAAACAAAGTTTCTTTTTCTTTTTAAAAACATTTTTATTTTATGCGTATGAGTTTTGCTTATATTTATGTAGGTGCACCTGTGTCATGTAATGCTTGCAGAGGCCAGAAGAGGGCACCAGATCCCCTGGAATTGGAGTTAGGGATTGTTGTTAGCTGCCCTACGGGTGCTGGGAACCAAACCAGGGTCCTTTGCAAGAGCAGCCAGTGTTCTTAACTGCTGAGCCATCTCTCCAGTCCCAGGTTTCTTCTAATCTCCAGCGTATAAAGAGCACTGAAAGTTTTGAATGGTGTCTCTGAAGGTCTGTGTGTGTGTGAAAGCCAGGGATCTACCTCTGGTGTTATTCTCTAGAAGCCATCTACCTTGTTTTCTGAGACAGGGTCTCTCCCTGGGACCTGGGACTTCCCAGTTAGGCTTGGTTGGCTGACCAACGAGCTCCAAGGAGCCCTCTCTCTTCTCCCCCATGCTAGGATTACAAGCATGCACCACCACACATGGCTTCTTATATGCGTGCTAGGAATCAAACTCAGGTCCTTAGGCATATGTGGCAAGCACTTTACCAGACTGAGCTATCTTCTGGGCCCCACCAGTCAGTTCTATAGGAGGGAAGTCATGAGGCCATGAGGCAGTGTTCTCATGAAACAGACAATCCTTTAATAAAAATCTATGTGTGGGGAGAGGGGTGGTAAGGGAGGAACTGAAGGGAAAGGAATGAGGTACGTATTTGGTCAAAATACATTACATGCATGTATGAAATCTCAAACAATGAAATAATAAAAAAGAAAAAAAAATCTATGTGTACTTGGCTGTTAAGTAAAATAAAGCACTGTCCATTTCCTTGAGGCGTTCATGGGGGAGGACAGACAGGGCTACCTTAGATAACAGGAATGTAGTTGTGAGATAAGATCCTTGCTCTCATGAAGCTTTCATATATCAAAAATGTTTGCAACAAAAAGGTATCAATTTGCCACCAGAAGCTCCACAGAAGAAGCAAGGTTTAAAAAAAAACTTTGAAATAAGAAAAAGCAAGTTATCTTCATCAGCCCACACTCATCCTAGGCAGGAGTCTGCAGGCTGAGAGTAACTTCCCAGCACTAAAGCTAAGAAGGCTATGTACCTCAGGTAAGTGGAGAGGGCAGGCAGAGGCTGGAAACAGGTGCTGACTAGATGGAGGTTTCACCTCCCAAGAGATACAACCAGAGGGGGTCAGGGTCAGGCCTTTCTGCTTCTCTGACTTTAATTCCTGCATGTGACTCTTGCCTTTGAAGAGGCTGAAAGGGGATGATTTGTACCTCCTTCTCCTCACCTTGATTTTTAATTAAGAGGCATCAAAAATAACACCAAAAAGGCAGGTTTCTCTTCATCCTGACTTTCATGAGGAAAGGTTAGGCTTTTATTATCAAGGTTCAAACAACATATAACAGAGCTGTTAATTTTTTAGATGTTAGGAAGTCATAAAATACAGAGATATAATAGATCTCTGCCACCCAACTACCTCTTAAAGCTTCAGGAATTAGTCAGTGATGACTAATGGTCTGTCTGAAAGGCACCTGACAAGTCAAAATCACAACTGAATCCCTTAATGTTCATAAGCATTCCAAGAGAATGAGGATATTTGAACATTTTCTAGAAAAACTGGTTTACATGTCTTTGAGAGCAGCCAAATTAAGTAATAGGTCTTTAACTTGTAATCTATGGCATTCCTGAAACTATACAGAATTTTATGTCTGTATGCATATTCAAGCAGCTGTCTTCCTTTCGCTTCTTTCTTTCCCCTCCCTCCGTTATTCCTCCGTTCCTCCCTCCTTTCCTTTGGTGGTGCCTGGGAGTTGAACCCAAAGTATGTTAGGCAAGTGCTCTACCAGTGAGCTGCATCCCTAGCCATCTTTTGTTTCTGATTACTCAATATATTTTCTACGAAAACACATTCTCGGCCTTTAGTGCTCTGACATCAAACAAGGTTGTACACTGTTTCATGTTCCATAGGAAACAAGTCACTAGCAGGAACAACTATTTAGTAGGAGGCAAAATCAATAAGACTGTGGGGTTGGAGAGCAATTTAGAGTCCTTGCTGCTCTTGCAGAGGACCTGGATTTGGTTTCCACAAATCATATGGCAGTTCATAAGCACCTGTATTTCTCTAGTTCCAAGGATCCAATGTACTTTTCTGGCCTCTGCAAGAACCTGAAGTACATGGTGTGCATAAACTACACAACACACACACAGACACACACACACACAAACACAGAGTAAATATTCTTAAAATTTTAAAAAGACTGTTCAGTAGGTATAGTCCTATATTCTAGGGTGAATTCCTATGTAACCCCAGGAAATTCACAACCACCTGGACCATGGTTTTCTCTTTGTATAATGAGAGAATTTAGAATACACTCAGATCTAAAATCGTCAGATACATATTAAAAAGATGGTAGACTCAGACTTTGTTTTGATAGGATTTGTGTTTACATACTGAGGGTGAGGTTCAAGGGAATAAAGAAAACATTTATATTTCCTTAAGTGTTGGTCAGCATTAGAAGAGAAACCATCTGGTGACTGCAGCAACAGAACTCATTTCTGCAACTACTGTGAAGAGAAAAAGCAAATGAAATGGTATAAAAAGATTAAGCATGCCATGAAACGTAGTAATTAGCTGTTAAGTCATTTTCCATTTAGATTTCTCTCTTGGGATCTTTACCCACAAATACAGCTTCCTGCAGGGCATTTCCTCTTGAGGTCCCTGTAGGTGTCTCCAATGCGAAACTCCAACCTGGGTGCATCATTTTCCTCTCTTAACTATTTCTCCAGCATCCTCGTCTTAACAAATGCTTTCTCCACCTAGACACTGAGGACTCACTCATACTTGATTTCTAGTCACTTCCATCTTCCTGCCTTTCTACTCCCTTATCAGGTTCTGTCTCCTCCAATTACCACTGCTTTTTTGTTCTCCCATGGTCCACAAGCAACA